TTAAGTGGGAGGTTCTTTTTGTATCCCCTGCTAACCAGTGCAGAGAAGATGCAAGAGATGAGGCCTACTGCTTTTCAGCCATATCCAAGAGGACTAGAATATCTAACCATTTGCAAAAGTCAATACAAAGGTAGCACATTCTCATCAGTTATTTTAAGAACCTATTTTAAGACCATGGCTTGAACCCTCAACCTTTTACCTTTCACTTCCAAGATCTCATCAGTAATTCTCTCTACTATCTACCATACAATTCATATGATGTTAGTTTGGAGAATTTGGTATTGGATCAACTAAAAATCCCCTTATGGTTATTTTTCTTTATCCCCATCACTTGTCTGCTTGATATTGCATTGACACTGTAAGGAGAAATTCTCTCTTGGTAACTCATGGGAGTATAAGGGTTAAATTACTTTTATTTATGTATGTATCAAGACTATTGAAAAAATAGATTGCTTCTATTTCATTTTCCATTTGCATACATTTGTACTTGCACAGGTGTAATTGTTTATAATATTAAAGAAAGCTAAAAGTAGATGTGCATGCATTAATTCTCAAAGGAAAGTGTTAGAAATCGATGCTTAGCTGCTCAACTTGCTGACATTGAACTTTTCCTTGAAAAATACAATTTTCTGCAAACAAGGAAGAAATTTATCTGCTACATGTATGAGTATGTTAGAAAGTGAAATTCTTGGTGTCACATGAGGCTCAGTGACATTCTGTGCATAGGGGGTCTTGAAGTTAATCACTTCTCGAGAGGCAGAGAGTACACAAATTTTATCTACAGAGGATCATACACTGAGAGGTGCTTGGAGTAATACTTATCAATATCTAACCCTTTGATGATGGCTTACTTATAAGTAAAAGAACAATTCCACTGCAAAACTAATTCACACCAACTTCATGAAAAAATTACCACCTACAGTGTATAAGATGGAAGGAAAAATTTTCGTCATACTTACACTGTGTAACATTTAATCCAATGTAATGAGCAGACAGTGCCACAAAAGAATGAAAAAATCCTTCACGATCATCATCTCTGAGTATGATATTTTCACTACAAATAATAATATGATCAAAGAAAGAAATTTCCAGGCAATGAAGAGGGTGTACAAAAGATTTCCTACAGCTTTAAAGTGTAAAGTAAAGAATGGCCCTTTACATAGAGTTTCCTTAACACCCTCAATATAAAATCTAACAGCCATACATCGTATAAGCTTAGCTTTAGAGGATGATGTCCACAGAAAAGGACTTGAAAGAAGTAAAGCATTTAAATTACGACTGTCTTATGGAATTGCTACCAATGCGATAAATTGCCCCTCCGTACTGCTACTGATAACTCAATAAAAACAATTTGTTTCCATGCACGTCCTTAGAAAGTTATGCAGATTCAAAGGTTTATTTGCAGAGTAAGCTTTCACCGTACATGTGTATGTCAAAAATAATAAACAATAACCTTAAATTTGAGACATTCCCTGCGAGTCAACATAATTGGAAATTTAGCAGGGAGTAAGATGGCTCGATCGCTCATATAAGAAGACCTGGAGATACAAGATTTTAAAACGTGTAGTTATAACGCGTGGGCAGTGTACTGTTTACGACTCAACAGATGTGTAATCATCACCTGAATGTAGCTACTACATATGCATGTATCAATTTCGATTTCATAGAGAATTGCCTGATCTTTTCTCGGAGAGACTAACCCAGTAAGTGCTATTATCACGATGAATGTAAGATAAATAGTTAAAAAACTTACCTTTTAACTATCGCAGTGCACAAAGGAGCTATGTACGACTTTGAAAACGAGGAAATTATGGCGAGAAGGTGTTCAACACCTTCCTGCAACACAGCCATTTTGGCTGATATTTCCTTCCCGTGATTCACGATTCCGATTTACTTACCAGTCCCTAGCGATTTTTGGATAATCGTAAATATAATAATTCTGGAATGGTGAAATGTGGAATGCCGGAATAAGGCTTAGTATAATAAGCGAATCAACAAGTAATCCAAAACTTGAAGAAATGTTACTCTAATATAAAGCTCTGACAAGAAGTCGTCAATAATGGAAAATTCATGAGGCTGAAGCGTTCAAAAGCGATGCTCAACGGAGCGCAAACAAACGGAGAGCACTTGCGCTCCCTTAGAAACTGGAGCTCATGGGGATAGCCACGAGTTACTAAAGAATGATAACAGAAAGGCTTGAAATTTTCCTTTAAGTTTCGCATAATTTTCTCGCCATTAGAGCTTTGTACGAGTAAGCAATGTGGCGAGTTAGTACGTTTTTTAATTGATAACTTCTGGCAACACACGGCAACATGCACCCAAATGCTTAATTTTAACATCTGGCCCCGGTTGTTCAAAGGCTGGATAACGCTATCCACTGGATAAAACTCTATACGGTTGTTAACGCTATACGTTTTGCTATCTCTTTTTCGCCGGATAGCGATTTATCAGTTGGATAGCGTTATCCGACCTTTCAGTATACAATTGGGCCCTGCTGTTTTGTTAAGTATCAACATTCAATATAACCGAGGTTAATTATCTGGTCATAGTATTCTCGCTTAAGATTGGAGTTCCGTTTACCAAGTCAAAGTAACTGCTTCAAAGTGTTTAACCTAACAACGAGAAAGCTAAATCATTACCGCACAGCGAGTATTAGCCAGTGCCGTAGCCAGCCAACAGGCTATAATTTTCTCCACCTGCTCGATTTTTATAATATGAATCTTACAAACCAAATCATCTCACCCACAAATTCATGTTTTGTCACTCTTCAAGTACTGAAATAACTAGTTTCTTGGCCTGTGCCATGCAGGTTTGGTATCTTCGTAGCCGCAAGGTGTAACCTACTTCAATCCACTTTACACCATCCCAATTCACTTCAACTCACCTTCTTAAAAAAGGCCTTTTTTGATATAGTATTGTAATTTATAGACTGGATAATTATTCATTCGTGTAATTTTGACTATATATTGTTATCTTTTATATATGGTATTTTAATTTTTGATCTTTAATTGTAAGACGCATTTGAAAACTGCATAGTTGAATTTGCGCGGTATAAATAAATGCTATTTATTAAATATGCTACCGCTATTCACTTAAATCCCTCCAGCCCACTTTAATTCGCTCTGATCGATGCCAATCCACTTCAATACTTTCCTTCAATTCTCCTAATACACCTGGGTAAGTAATAACATCTTTCCAATCGCTTTCATTCACTTCAATCCTTCTCAATTCACTCTGAGTAAGCCAATCCACCCTAATCCAATCCAATCCAACCCATCCCAATCTATCTACGCCAATCCCCCGTTCTGATTAACCTTGATTCTGACCTAATCTTGTCCAATCCACTACAAAACGGCCCACTTAACCGTTATCAACCCCAACTAAACAGAACCACCTCAGTGCACCCCAGTCCAGCTCCTTCTGGGTCAATTTTGTGTAAATAACCCTTGAAATAGTATTTCCTCTCTTAGCGGAGGAAAGTGAAAGCAAAAACAAGAACGACAAAAAACAGGAAACACCATGCACTTTCAGTCCTTTATTCCTAAATTGTGCGTCATTTCTCATACACACCAGGAACTTAATTTGAGTCATTTGCACATAACAAGTTTTAAGCCGTGGTTCAAAAGACCTTTTTTCCAAAGAGATCTTGGAATTGGCTACGTAACACAACGACCTAATAAACATAAACAATGCCCATTTGAAGAACACGAGGTATTCCTTGAGACACCCAAGTCGCTGAAATAGGAACTCTGGTCAATATTTTCAGGCGTCAAGTCAATGCATCATCCTAAAAGAATAATACGAGAGCAAATTATTCATAAATTCATGATAAATGATTCTTAGGCAGTGCATCTGTATACATAGAAAATTTTGTAACATGCATGTATGTGATGATTATCAAAAAAGAAAAAAGAAAAAATAAAATAAAAATCGGTCATTATGCCATAGTTAAAGGATAAGTAATGATGGCTGTCTTCATCATTTTATCAAAATAAACGTGTTGCCATCTTCGCCAAAACCTGCTGGAAGGACTCTTCGTAACAAGTTTACGACAAGTGTCTACTGAAATGACATATTATTGTTATCTTCATAAATACAAATAGTTATCAGTTTTCTTCCTCAGTCACAGAGTTAGATTCCCATCCTCACTGCTGTTGTGCGACCAAGCATCACGAGTGAGTACTTGAGAACTGAAAAGTAAAATACCACTAAACAAAGTAAAAACTTGAAGTTTCAATTACAAAATACATTATAGAAGCCGAATGAGGACATATGCAACATAATAAAAAATGGCCGACGGAAGAGGTCTCAGGCTTCAGTCAAAATTTTCCCAGTACTTTTTTTACGTAAGTTTTAGAGAGCATTCTTTTCCAAGCCTTAAAATCTGCACTCTAAGACTCGCGAAGATCCCCATCTCAAAGAACGTATCAGTGCTTACGTAATGAGTTCTAAAGTTCGCAAGTATAAGAGTTTTAAATGAGCCCTTTAAAGAATCTAAGTAGAAAAGAGCACACTTAAAAAGAGTCTTGAGGAGCACTCTTCAACAGTATTGTTGCAAGCACTTCATCGAGTCTGAAGAAGGGCACTTAATGGATTTTTCCAGTGCACACCTTGATAACCTTTCTGAGCTCTTGAAAGAGTCTTAAGGTGCGTAGCTTTATCGAGTACAAGAGTGAACACTTGAGCAAGTCGTTAGATGAGCACTTAAATAAGTCTTAAAGTGTTCATTTTAAAATCAAAAGTGTTCATTCAAACAAGTCTTACAGTGCTCACTTTCAAAATCAAAGTGAGGACTTCATCGAATCTAAAAGAATCATGATGCACGTAAAGAACACTTCAAGTGCATAATTTTACAAACTTAAAACTGAGCACTTCAAAATGTCTGAAGGTGCAAAGTTTTACCAATCTGAAAGTGCGCACTTTACCGAATCTGAAAGTGTACACTTGAGAAAGATGAGCACTTAAAAAAGGTTTTTAAGTGGTCACCTTGACTTTTAAGTAGAACGAACCACAACACGCGATAAAAATCATTTTGCGTTTTAAGAAAGTTCTAAATCATTATTCGAAAAGTTTGCCATTGCCAAGGGACGAAAAAAGGTGGGGTGTGACTCTCTTGCTTCATGGGTAAGCGGTCAAAGTTGTGCGTAAGATTCAAAATGGAGATAAAAAGAAGAGGAGTACGAATTTGTTACGTTTTTTGGTGAGCAGCGAAGTTGTTAGGCGCATTTTACAATGATGGCATCTGTAGTCCAATTTTCAGTTAATTTGAAAACAATTATCGAAAGTTAGTTAACTCATTGGAATAGCAATACGCAATCAGTGTCGTAATTTTGTCAGTACACACGTCATGGCGGAGATAAAGAACATATGATTTCTGGAGCATGTGTTTCCTTTTAGTCATAATAACATACCTACACACCCAACCTCACTGGCGGAACCTAATTTCATGGAAGGATTACGGCACATATCACAGGTCCTTCCTAGCACACCACTGTTACAGAAACATTGACCAGTATCTCTGTCACATAGGGCACTGTGCGCTGAGGTGTTGACACCAGGTAAAAAACAAGCACAAGCTGAAAGAAGTAAAAACAAAAACAAAAACACAAAACAAACAAAAAAAAGACGAAAAGAATTGAAGAAGAATTGGATGCTCAGGCCTTTTCTATGATTTGAAGAAATTTGGGTCTTATCTGTTCTAATTTGAGAAGAGATGAAAGCTAGCCTTAAGAAGTTGTGTTAAAACCAGTCCAAATTAATGCAAAATGACTCTAGCCTCCCCTTTTCATTTTGCGGATTTTTTCCCAAGGAGGCACAAAAAAAACCTAAGAAAAATTTTTTGTTTTTTTGCAATATCCAATTTACGTTCTCCGCATGAAATCTCAATCATTTCATCTATTGTAGGTAGTTTAAATTTGCACGTACTGCATATCACGAACTGGTATACCTTGGCAACCCTGACCGGAGGCGAAGTTAAAATAGTCTGGCCCACACTGATCACAAGTGCGACCAATAACATTAGGCTTGCAGGAACATTGTCCACTATTTCTGTCACACTGATCAGGAATTTTGGATCCAACTGTGCTACAGTTGCACGCTACATAAAAAAATGATGTGACCTTTAGTACAATATAGCTATGATAAAGAGAGCACCTTTCGACTGAGCGTCGAAAAACCATAGGCAAAGGAATCATATCGGCCAATCAGAGCGGGGAAAACATCAAAAGGATTGATCCGCTTTGTGGCTCGAGTTTTCTAAGCCAATCAGGGGACAACGTAAAGCAAAACCAAAGCAATCTTAGTCTATTTTGGTCTCGTCACGTAACGTTCTCTCCCCCACTACGTTGCGTGACGAGACCAAACAACGGCTGCGAAGGAGACTTTCGATGTCAATTGATAACTGCTCCATAATAATAACAATAATAATAATAATAATAATAACTTTTTTTAAATAATAATAATAATAATAACAATAATAATAAAGAGGATGACGATAATAATAATGAAACGGCTACTCATGATCACGGTGATGACTAGCCGTTTCATTATTATTATCGTCATCCTCTTTATTATTATTATTATTATTATTATTGTTATTATTATTATTATTATTACTACCATTATTATTATTTTTATTTGGTACTGCTGCAAATCAAATTATGATCATCTGGAAAGGTATTATTCTCAAAAGTTTCCCTTCAGAATATCTGAAATATTCTAAGGTTAAAGCAGTTTTAGTTTCGATTCTTGAAGACTGATTAACGGACCCTATAAAATGGAGATCGCTTAGTAGCAGTATCAGGTACATGATTACACACTTTTTCTGTAGCCTGAGAAAACGTGGTGTCCGGGTGGGGTGCGTTTCAGCTATCACAAAATTCTTATCCGTCTTGACCATAATTGTTCAGCTTACAATAGCCATTTGAGAAATTCTTATTTCTTACAAATCAATAATTATAGAAATCGTACCTAAACAACCCTGCTTTGCATCGAAGAAGCCTGGACTGCACACATCACACTTCTTACCAATCAATTTAGGTCTACAGCTACAGTTCCCGTATGTCTAATCATGTGATATAAGGAAAGAAAATATTGCCAAATATATAACAAATGCTTTCCGAGATGGATATAAATGTTCCCCACATAAATGTCCTTAACACTAAGCCACGTTCCATGAAAGAACTACCTCACAGTGTTGTTTCCTTCAGACAGGTCAAGATAGGAGGAGACCTTAAAATAATTATTTCTTCGTTGAGGAAAGGTAAAGAGAAAGGCGAGAAGTGACGCGGATCGTTAAAGAAGAAGGAGCGCTCCATAATAGATGTAACATTATGCTTATTATAATTCGGTCTGTAATTATACCAGTGATAAACAAAATCAGGTAACCGCGAAGCGGGACCACGAGTTGTTAATCACGAGTATGATTACAGACAGAACTGGACGACACGAAGTCCTTTTACCAACTAATCATAACCGTTGCAATTTCTGAAAACAACAAATACATTAGGACAAATATCTCCGGTAGAAAAAATGTCTACAGTAAAAAATTCATCAATTTTGGGAATTCCTTAGTCTTTCTTTTGTATAGGTGGTTGTTGCTATGGTTATTGTGATCAATTCTGTGATTGGTGGATTTGGCTGAAAGGACTAAGTGCGACTGCCTGCTTCAACTGTCCGGATACAGGTATCCAGTTACAGCCAACTGTCCAAAATTGCAGCTATATAGAATGATTAGTGAAAAATAAAGCAGCTAATGCACCAATCACATTTAAGGAAATGATAATGGTTATGATTTAACGAATGAAAAAGAGACTGTGTATGCTTACCAAGTCACACTGAAGATCAGTGGAGCTTTCAATATCACAGTTACAAGGCGTACAACCAGAAGACGTATAATTGAAAGCGTTCTGTTCACATCTGTCACACAACTTTCCCGTCACATGAGAATGACAGGAACACAAACCAGTCATGTTGTTACACTGGCTGTTCACTGCACCAACAATCGAACAGTTGCAAGCTGAAAGTTGACAGTTTTGAGCTACTAATGGTCCTGGTGGGCTACGCCTTATCCTCTCAGTATTAATTCTAAAAGGCCTTTTTTTTTGAGTGGTTAAGTTTTTTGGATCAATATCAGTATGTGGGCAACTGCCCACCTAACCCTCCCCTAACTCAACAACAGTCAATTGACAACAAGTTAAGGTTAATGCTGGGTTAGGGGAGGGGTAGGTGCCCAGATACTGATATTGACAAAGTTTTTTTCCCAATGGCCTTCGTAAACTTTGTGGAGTTTGTTTAATCGCTAAACTTTGCTTCATTGTGGATTATATTCCACGGGGAAAAATATGGATCAGTGTTTTCTCCAAAAATAAACGTTTTACTTTGGTCTCAGTATTTTGTTTAAATACAACAAATTTGTTTGCCTTACCTTGACAACCTTGACCAGAAGTGAAGTTAAAATAGTTAGGTTTACAGTGGTCACAAGTGCGACCAATCACATTAGGCTTGCAGGAACATTGTCCGCTATATCTGTCACATTCACCAGGGTTGTTTGACCCCACAGAGCTACAGTTACAAACTGAAAAACAAATGTAGCAACTGGTTGTACGTTATATTGCCATACACTCAACAAACTGTCTCGTTCCTACCTAGTCAGTGGCGACTACCTCCTTAGAGTTTAGTGAGCTATACAGAATTTCCCTGTTACATTCTTGCGGCAAGTTTAAACGAGATTTCCATTTTACCTCTTCTCAGTGAGCTATACAGGATATCCTTTTTGCATTCCTTCAGTTAGCTATTTGAGATTTTCCTTTCCCATTCTTCCTGCATGTAAGCTTTACGAGATTTCCCCTTTACATTCTCTCAGTGAGCTATAGGGAACTTCCCTTTAACATTCTGTCAGTGAGCTGTACAGAATTTCCCTTTAACTCTCTTTTCGCTGTATGAAAATGATCGTCTTTTTTCGAGTGATGTGACTTAAAGCACGTCCGTTTGCTAGTTAGCATTGTGCTGAGCAAGCATTTTCGTTAAAACTTCAAATCCACAAAACAAGACTTGCGTAGACACACCTGGTAATCAAGGTAAATAAATTTAATTATTATGAAAGCGAAGTAACTAATATTTGAATCTTAATAAATTCTAATTGGAGCTTGTCACAAAAAAATTATTTATATATATATATATATATATATATATCTCTATGAGAAAACTTCAAACCGTCATTTAACAGGAAGAGGGTGTGCAATCTGTTTCAGTTATTGCATTCTTCTCACATACAGTTTCAGCCCCATGCATCCCTATGAAATTTGGTTGTTCCCTTGACCTGAAATGCTTTAAAGCCTTTGAGCTTGAAAATAGTCCCTATTACAGCTAGGTAAAAAGTCAAGCTACGGTTGCACAGTTTACACAAAAACCATCAAGTTACTGACTTGTCTGAATTTGAATCGCTTGAATTAGTTATTAGAAAAGAAGTCTTACCCAAACAACCTTTCTGAACATCAAATAAGCCCGCAGTACAAATGTCACACTTTTTACCAATCACGTTTGATTTACAGCTGCAATTTCCATGTATCTAAATTAATGTGAAAATAGGAAGTACAAAAGTCATATTTTAAAGTAGAATTTTGCCTTAAATTAGTGGAAAACTATATAAACAGGGGTACCCTGGATGTAAAAAGAGACATTTTTGAAGGATCGATCAGAGAGAAGGTTAACAAGGATTAACAAACTGGACCTAGAAAGTTTAGGCAAACATTTTTAAGAAACAATGCATGAGGTATGACTATGATACTTGAAAATCTACAAAAAAACGATTCAAAAAGAGATTATAAATCGCCTACCGAGTCACACTGGAGATCAATTGAACCATCATTGTTACAATTACAAGGCAAACAACCAGACGCGGTATAATTAAAAGCGTTCTGTTCACATCTGTCACAGAACTTTCCTGTCACATATGGATGGCAGTAACACGAACCAGTCATGTTGTCACACTCATTATTCAGTGAAAAAACAGCCGAACAGTTGCAACCTGAAAGTCGATTCCAAATGGAGATTTTAGAGAGTTAGCAAAAATGCCACAGTGCCTTGTTTAAAACTGCGGTTGGTTACAAAAGGCTCATGCCACCATCTCCACCGATCAGATGGAGTGTCAGCTGATCCCAAAAAAAGACTCGCCCAGGAGTGTTTTTCGTGCTGATGTGGGGGTGTTTGCTTTCTATTGGTAATGGCTCTCTCTTCTCTTGTACAGTTTGCGTCTGTTCTGATGGGCCTTTCAACCTGGATCCTTTGTACTTAGTTCCGCTACACACATTAAAATATCTGGCTGGTTAAGTCAAGCGTGTCGTCATTCCATAAAAAGCAAAACACCTCTGACAGGCTGGGGTCTTAAGGTGGGAGGGAGAGAGGCTTATTTACACTTTAACGTTGCAATCTCCCAAATATGATTGCGTTTTGATCAATGCTTCAATGTAATGATCTGTTGGAACTCGCCTTACCAGCATGCGGCGAAGGTCTTTACAAAAAAAACACTTACGTGTACAAGTTTTGTTCAATGCATTTCATGGTATCCTGGTGCACACCACTGACAGTTAGACCCTGTGGTATTGTAAAGACACTTAAGGCATTCGCCTGTCGTGGTGTTGCAATTACCGGTGGCTGCAGGATCTATGTTGTTGTTACAGTTACACTTGTGACATTGACTATCCTGTTCCTGTTAAAATTCATAAATGAATAAAAAGTATAGTTTTTTGTAAAAAGGACAGTGTAATTGTATGAATAATAAATTAAGGCGCCCTGAACACAGCAAAAATTGAAGATGAGTTTCTTCTTGATTTAACCAAAATGTGGTGAAATCTCCAAAATGCTGAGGACTAGATAGAGATAAAATGAATAAAATAAATGGAATTTAGCAGTGGACGTTTTACGAGGTAGCTCTTCATATCCACTGTTTCAGGGTCTAATTGGAATTTAAAACGTTGGTTTTTGCGGAGGGAGGAAAACCGGCGGACCCGGAGATAAACCGTCAGAGCAAGGAAGAAAACCAACTACAAACTCAACCCACATGTGACACCAGATCCGGAAATCGAACCTGGGCCACAGTTAATCGATCAGAGAGGGATCTATTGCATACATGTTACTAACTTAGGATTAACATCCAGGACCTTCAAATTGCATTGGTTTGCTTTGCTTAAGTGCGTTTTGTGATGGGCATGTGAACTTGGTGCAACTCTCTAAACCAAACGGCTACAAAGCTGAAACTAGTGGCAACTGGCCGGAGTCACTCTGAGTCACTCACTACGTGCTTCTGATTGAATGTAATTCCTTCCAGTTCACGTTGGTTTCAAGCGCATTTTCCTATATTCTGATGGATCATTTTGATTACTTTGGTTTTTGGTTTTACGACACTCAGAAGGAATGTCGTTTATCGAAGTTCCACATCTCACTGAGCCTCACACTTACCTTTGGCCGTCCAAAGTAACCGTCCATACATCGTTCACAATACCCTCCCTCGTGACCCACAGTGCAGTTCACACAGGTTGGTAGACCGTCACTTGAAAGTACACAGGTCTTAGCGAATTGATTGACGGCAAATGGTCCGCTGGGGCATGGGCACGGGCTGCAGTCGGTAAGTGTGGCATTAGTGGCGTTGCCATACCAACCATCTAAACACTTTTCACAATCTTCACCTGATAAAAATAACAAAATTCACACAGGACACAAATTAAAAGAAGCAACTAATTATATGTTTGGTCAATGTAAATCAAGATAAGCATATGACTTAAAGGAAAATGGTCGTGCATAAATCGTACCAGGGCATAGGAATCCAATCTCGTGAGTTTTACACTGTGTATTTCAAAGTTCTTATTTCTCCGACATACAACCAAGTTTAAGGACTCTATTCTCCCTGGCCTCAACAATATTTGCGCACTCCTCCTATCTTATTTATCCAATTTCTTCCTTCCAAGAAATTTTTCGCTTCTTTTATTTTCATGGCTAATACCTGTGGTGTTGTGTTGACAGTCCAGACACACTCCAGTCTCAGTGTCACACTTGTCTGAGTGTCCGTTACACTCGCACGGCACACATGTCACGTAAGGTCCTCCCTTTGGTGTGACACGTGTGTAACCATTGGCGCATTGTTCACAAAACTGTCCTTTGTACTCCACGGGGCATGAACAATTCTCAATGTTTAAAGCACTTTTTGCCCCAGGAATCACACTGCTCCTAAAAAATAAAATCAATCTACATTAAAATCATTTTATCCAAGTAAATTATTTAAAGCTCTTGCTGTGTGACAAGACCAAGAAACGGTTTTGAAAGAGACTAGGGTGCGACTGGATGCTGCAAAACATCATACTTACTCTAAAAGACCCTTGCTTGAGGAAAAAACATTTACGCACTATTAAGAAAGAATATTTATGCCAGATTTTTTAGACATCATTTACTCAAAGACCCTGGCTAGAAGAAAAAACTTTTACACACCATTAAGACAGAATATTTATACCAGATCGTTTAGACATTGTTGTGTATTCATTTAGAGGAACCACTCACTCCTCACTCTTCAATTGCTTTCTATATTCTGTCTTTATTCATCGATCAAGTATCTAATGAGCTGGTACCGTCATGTTACTTGATTACAGTACTTTCACATCATTCAGTAGTCCTACAGTAAGATTACTATCATTGATACAAGTACTTATACAATGTTCTCAATACACTACAGACATTATCCCTTCTTTAACCACACCCAAAAAGATCAATGGTAAAGCACTCATTTACTTACAGCCTAAAAATTATAGCATTTCAACTCTAGGGTAATCAATGTAGTACACACCTGTTACTAAGAGTTAGTTTAATATCAGCCAATCGGGTAAGAGGTTAAGAGTTGTCCACTTGGCCCTGATACGCAGTGATGTCAAATGACTTAATACAACAATAATTTCGTAAGTTGAAGGTTGCCGCCCAGAGGTGTTTCCTACTCTCCAATTGTTTTCAACAAGCTTTACCTGATAAAAATAACAGACATTAAGTTATTAACATCCACATTCTCACATCCAGGACCCAAACCTAACTTGACTTGTTACTCGTTTTTTATTAGTGTCACCAAAGTTCCACATTAACTTAAATGTTGGAAAGTTAGAATAGCCAATTATCTTTTTTGAGTTGATCCAGTGATAACAACTTCCATTTCAATAACCAAAGAAATGACCTCACCACACCTAAGTACAATGAAAAGTAGCAAACAGGGGCGGGAATATGTCCGAATTTTTTCAGGTGGCAAGGGGTCAGGAGCAGGAAGAGAGTAAAACAGAACAAGTACGAATTTACCCCAAAAGTTGTGCTAAGGCTATGTTTTAAACAGCCTTTCTCCAGACGTTTTCCCTGAAAGTTACTCTCCCTCACTGCTATTTTTCTCAAATGTAACAGTGGAGTATTATAAAACATCTCAAAGAAAACTGCTAAAATAGACAAACTAAAAGTTTGATGGTTGTCATTAACCCCTGAACAAGAGAACCTCAGATCTCTTGGTCCAAATTCTCCTCGGTCACAAATAATCATCCCCCATGCAAAACAATCCTATTTTATTTATATTTTATGTCTATTTTAATGCTATCACATCTATTTTTATAATATTTTATTCTCTGAGACTTATATTTTATTCCTATTTTACCTGATGGGGAAAATAGAGCCTCTATCTTGATTGTGTTTTACTTTTAATTTAAACCTATTTTAAAGCAAGATTGAACAAGGTGGTGTATTTTATTTCTATTTTCTCTAAACAAGTGGAAATATAACCAGCAAAACAGACTATTTTAATCCTATTTTATTTCCTACATTAGTAAAATAGTGATAAAATAGGCTGTTTTATTTATATTTTCTGCTGATAGGACATACTATGGCCATTTCCTTTGGAAAATATGAAAATGATTCCTTTAAAGACTATTTTTTGACTGATAGTACTGTATTTATTGCAGTAAATATAACTCAAGTTATTGTATTTTATGGGAAAGAATCAACAGATTTTATTGACAATTTGTGTCAAACCAAATTTAATGATTGATTAGGAATATTTTTTATGAATAGCTGTAATTGAAGATAATTCTTATGAAGTTTTCAAGAAAAGAATAAGAAATCAAATTCCATCCCAATATTACTACTTGTTGATGTTATATAAAATCAAAAATATTTTACACTTAAACCTGAGGTAAGTATGTAAATAAATTTCATTGAATACTTGAATTTTTAGTTGGGATTTTAAATTTTTAGTATTTATTTAATGTTAGTTACCTCAATTTTTTTCTTAAAATTCCCAGTAATTCTTAAACATTCCTAGAAATTAATGAAAATTCTTAGGAATTTCTAGCAAGTTTTTAGATTTACAGTCTTTTAGGGAAAGTCATTGGTGCTCTGAGTTGGAGTTCCTTGTAATTCAAAGTCCTGTTGACAATTGACTTGGAATTTCTGGGAATTTCTAGGTTTTTGAACCTGTGAGTGTTGTTACAGTTGGGAATTCCTAGGAATTCCCATTTCAAATTTACCATGAAAATTCACACCTCTTATTCCTAGGAATAATGTTTTTTCCTAGGAATGTTTATACATGAGGCTCTATTTTAAACCTATTTTAAGTGTATTTATAATCTATTTTTTCAATTTTTTTTTCCTATTTTATCCCTGTTTTATGTCTATTTTATGTCTCTTAGACCTATTTTATAGGTATTTGCTTCATATTTTTTCAACTTTTTTCCTCCTTTATCCCTATCTTTTGTATATTTCAAACCTATTTTAAATGTATTTATATTCTATTTTTCCATATTTTTTGTATTTTTTCTCTATTTTATCCCCGTTTTATGTCTATTTTCTTTTATAACTAATATTTCATTAATGCTATTTTAATCCTATTTTATCATCAAATTGCATACACATTTTTTCTATTTTAAAGCTATTT